GGGCCGGGGCGCTCCGCGGAGACTCCGAGATGCCGGTTTGGCCCCCGGCATCTCCCCGCCCCGCGCAAGGCAGAGTCGGGGCGCGGGGGGAGCCAGCACCTTTCATTTGTCATTCCTTCTCCCTTCCCCCCCTCCTCCCGGATACGTGCCCAGGTCTTTTGCTGCCTTGGCTGCCGCCAGCAGGTAAGGAATGAGGGGCCTTGCCCGGCCGAGTGGAGCAGATGGCAAACGGCCACCAGTGCCAGGGCAGCACTGGCAACGCAGCGTCCCCTTGCTGGGAGAAAATCAGCTCACAGCCCGTCTTTCGTGATTAGGTACCTCCAAAGAGGCTCCTCCAGCCTCTGCCAAAGTCCCTTCACCTCCACGCCTGTCTGTCCTACCAGCATCTTCACTTTCATGTACTCGTCTCACCAATACCTTCACTTTCCCCGAATAAGCTAGGATTTGGAGTAGTTCCCAGGAGTCCAAGGACCATATGTCATCCTCCACTCAGGTCCGAGTATTTGGTGTATTTCATGGCTAGCATTTTGACTGCATCCTGTCTGATTTGTCTGGCCACCAAAGAAACTCTGCTTTCATGCCAAAACTGCCTCAGGTCTAAGGTTTGGCTTAGGCTTCACTGAGGGAAGTTTCATAGCAAAACTTTTGCCTCCATAACTGCAGTAGTGAGCTCTCTTGGAGCTAATTTTGAAACTCCAGAAGACAGCTGTATTTTAATGACATAAAGCATCCCCTTAATGTAACACTAGAGTGAGATCATGGTGGAAAATTATCAGACAATACGAAACAATTGGTTCAAGGCTGAAATAAACATCTATCCTTTTCTTTTTTCATTTTAAATCCATAAATCATCTATTGTAAGCATCGTTTAAATATACTACATTCAATTTAAACGTGAACGCAACATAATATAAAAAGCACTCCTGGAATCAAATTAGAAACCAATTTCTCTTACAACATGATAGTTGACTTGAATCTTTATAATCGCTTTCGGTTGTTTTATGCAGAAAAGGTTGTAGTGAGTTTCAGAGAGCATTTGTAACCTCAAATATTTGCTTCTTGAATATTTCAGCATCAGCAGAGTTTACAGAATAAATGAATAAATAGCCATGCAGCATTGGCAATAACTTTCTCTTTATTCTTTGTATTGAAGGAAAAGAAATGTAGCTGGCTAAAACTCACTTTTTCTCTCGAAGGGATTTAAAGGCTGGAGGAGGGTTAATGCCACGGCTGCATGGATTGCATTTTTTTAAACAAATGTTACCCCAACGTGTTGCATCAGCCAAACTCCTGAACTAGAGAATATGTTTATGCCTTTCAAAGTGAACTTTTGGCCTGAAAAAAGAAACCCTCCTGGTTCTTCTTAAAGGCTGAATAACCAGTAAATATTCTGACAAGTAACAAATGACTGTGGGCGTCATATTGTTGGGTGCTCTTGTCTCCCCTCTGCTAACAAGTAAATAAATGTTGCCTACCTATGTTTCCATTCTAAGAGCAGCGGAGTGGCCAGCCTGAAGTCAGTGTCTTTCCACCTACTCATCAGCTGGACTCTGCTAGAGGAAAATTACAGTCTTACAATAGATTCAGGAAAAGATCAAACCAAATTTGTAACTGAAAAGCAGAGCTTAAGGTCCGAGCATTAGTCAAAGCCCTTAAAAACATCTATTGTTTTCAATAATAAATACATAGATAGGTAGGCACATGGATGAGTGGATGGATAAACAGACATATGAGTTGACAGACACATAGATAATTTTTAGTTCCATTCCTCCTATTACTAAGCTGTGCATGGTATTTCTCCAACAAAAGACGTTCTGTCTTCCTAACTTTATTTCATTGCCTCATTAGAATATTGATTTAATTACATTGCTTTTACCCACACTGGCTCTAGACACAAAGCCGGTGTGGCAAAATTAAAACATATGGAGCATTTTTTTTAATTAGGAGCTTCTTGTAGACTTCTTAGCCCAGAAAACTCCAAACATTTTCAAGCCACTTTTCAGGGAAAGTTTCCAAATGAAGAAAAGGGCATCTTTTTGTAGTTGGGGAAAAAAACCCATCTCCCTATGTCTTTCTCTGTCTTTTATTTATTTATTTATTTTCAGATGGAGCTAGGATTGGGGGAAAAACCTTTTTAAGTTGGGGGAAGGGGAAGTTCTGATGAAATTGGTTGCTCGTATAACTTGGGGGCTTCTTTAGCACTTAAAACAGTCGTGGATAATTGTAATTCTTCCCCTAGTCCCCTCTTCCCTTCCACCTCCCCGCACCCCACCTCCCTTCTCTCTTTTAAAGTCTTTGAGGAAAGATTTTGACGTATTCGTGTTGTTATCAGATTGATGGGCAGGGTTTGATTGAAACCCCTTTGTCATGCAAATGTCAGGGCCTTGATGGATGAGCTCAGATATCTGACAAACTTCAGGAGCTCCTCGCTCATTGGGCTCGGAGCGGACCACGTGGCCTCCGCCCCTGCCCCCAGCCCAAACCCTGCCGAAGGCTCCGGGCTTCGAGGGCTAGCGATGCATGGAAGGAAGTTTTACAGCTTTGACATACTATCTAAAGGTTGTAGGGCAGGCGGAATCCCCCCCAAAACAGGCTGACCCTCCTCCATCAGTGGCAGATGGACAATACTAGGATGAACTCCTTCTTAGAGTATGCAATTTGTAACCGTGGGACGGGCGCCTACCATCATTTAGAGCAGAGCTCCCCTTCCTTCCCCTCTTGCTCAGGTAGCCCTGCCAGTGACACTTTTAACGGAGACGGGCGCTTTGGCGTAGGAGGAAGCACGGCCGCGGCTGCCCTTCTCCCCCAGCAGAGCCCCAGCTACCACCCGCCCTCCTCCGGGCGCACCGTCCCCTTCGCGGGCGCTGCCCCAGCCTCCGGGTACCCAGCCCAGAACCGCAGCCCCGGGCACCGGGC